ACGGTGAGATTGGAGAGACGGCCGAGAAGCTATACATTCTGGCATCCATCTATCTTGCCTCTTCTATCATATGGTGGATGGTCTTCCGTCTAGTCCCCTCAGTCTACGTGTTGACGATTCCTTTCCTTGTACGTTCAAGTTCCTCTATCCAGCTTACGGGGTTGCAAGCTAACTAGCCGCAGATATACGGGCTCGCCTTTCTATTTGTCGGTCTTACCGGTCACATCCAAAACGGCACAAGTCAAACATGGCTACAAAATGTGGGAGTCGGCTTGTATTCGTTTGCGTCTTCGAGTGGTTCGATTTTCTTCGCCCTCAACTTTGGAGACGAAGGTATGCACCAACTCTTCTAGGAAATATGGAACTTATCTGACTTTCTTGTTCAGGTGGAGCGCCTCTGAGGTCTTGGATTTACAGGGCCACTGTCATCCAGGGCACCCAGCAATTGTTCATCAGTTTCCTTTGGTACTGGGGTAGCTGGATGGCAACTCTCAATCAAAAAGGTAGTGAGCAATTCAGCCTTGCCATGACCGATCCAGGTGCTTTGCTCGGAATCGGACTCGGACTCGCCTGTTTTATGTGGCTGTTGGGAGCCCTGATCTTCTTTGGACTTCCTACATATTACCGACAAGCACCAGGTCAAGTGCCGACATTCTACCTATCGCTCTTCCGTCGTCGCATTATTCTTGTATGTCTCTTCCAGTCCCCCCTCAAGCTAATCTTGATTCTGACGCTATATTTTGCAGTGGTTTTTCTACATGGTGTTTATATCGAACTACTGGCTGTCGGCACCGTACGGACGGAACTGGCTCTATCTCTGGTCCAGCAAGCATGCACAGGTGTGGCATATCGTGCTCCTTGTTCTCCTCTTTTTCATCTTTGTCTGGGCGGCAGCTCTCTGGGTCTTTCACGTCTTTTCCAAGAGACACGCCTGGTTTATCCCGATCTTTGCTGTCGGTCTTGGTGCTCCTCGATGGGCCCAGATCCTGTGGGCGACCTCCAACATAGCCACATACATCCCCTGGGCCGGTGGTCCCGTAGCCGGAGCTATCCTTGGTAGAGCGCTATGGCTCTGGCTAGGAGTTTTGGATTCCCTTCAGGGTGTCGGTAAGTTCCTTCTCGCGGCGAATAAAACGTAACAAAAACTGACTTACGCCAATACAGGGTTTGGAATGATCCTCCTCGTCACAATGACTCGATTCCATGTCACCTTCACACTTCTAGCCGCGCAGGTGGTCGGTTCCGTTGCGACTATCCTCGCCCGCGCGACAGCACCGGATAAGTTAGGCCCTGGTGATGTCTTCCCTGATTTCTCGGCTGGGGTCGCAGCCGGCTTGGAAAAGGCAGACTTCTGGGTGTGCCTGCTCTTCATGCTGTCCATCAATGTGCTCTGCATCTTCTTCTATCGCAAGGAACAACTTGCGAAACCTTGACTGGCGTTTTCTTTTCTTTTTTTCTGCTTTGCATCCACTCAACATTGTGAGGCGTAGATATCGTGATCAGAGGATTAATTATACTATAATCGGTTGCATTTGCTAGGGCGCGATAGACCTTGTAAAGGTCGGCCCTTGTTTTGGATATGTACATAATACAAGTCAGGTATCCAAATTTAATGTTCATATTCATATTCATTTGGTGCTTAATAGGCATCGATGCTTCTAGTCCCAAATTAAATTCATTAATCAATACCTTGAAGTGGTTTCCCTTGGTTGGACTTCCCTTATTCTGTCAAGCGGGCGTGTCCCGATCGCGCGAAAATCAACAATATGGAACGGTACAGCCTACGCCGGTTTAGGACTAGTCCGGGGAAATGACTTTTCCGAGCCGGTACTCCGTATATATTAGTCATCTGTTATTCCCGCTTCTTTTATTCCGATCGCTTATTCCAATGGTCCTTCTTATGGGCCCTATGCAAATAATATTACATAAGATTCAATAAGTAGGATAGTCATGCAAAGTTTAGGCTTTAGGCCCATTTGCCCACTTTAATGGGCCGAGTCGACTTTGGGTCTGCGGGAGACCTTTGATTAGTGCTCTTGCCAATATCCGGGCCATACCCATCTGCCTTGCGATAAATTATGACATAACAGTCATGTCCACAATAGTTGGCAAGCGCAAGCGTGCAAGGAAGGCATGCATACCTTGCCACCAGCGCAAGCGAAAATGCAATGGGGAGTACCCTTGCGGCACGTGCACCACCTATGAATATAACTGCAGATACGCCGACGATGACACCACCAACACTGCGGGTAAAAACGACCATACTCCACTCCTGGACAAGCGCATCATTAATGACGGCGGGAGTACTATGGCGATCGGTGTCACCGCCGAATCGCGCAGCCCGGACAGCCAATCCCATGGAGCGAGAGCTGCCGGAGCTGACAGTTCATCGTCAAAGAGTTCTGCCGTCGGGGCCGGCATCTTCGACGAGCAGAAGTCCAGATACACTGGAGCATCGGCAGCCATGGCCTTCCCGCACATCCTGGGGGTGGCTTTTGGCGCCGACAGCCCTCCAAAGATCAACTCGTTCGCGTACAACTTTGGGATCCGCCCCGAAGAGGCTTCCAACGCGTATGGCTTCCTAGGGAAACTAATTTCAGAAGAAAATCTCGCCTTCTACTCAAATGTGTACTTCTCTGCAATGGGCCCTATCGGCGACTGCTTGGACCCAAGAATTTATGCCCAGCGATGTCGCGATTATTATCGTAGCTCCGGCAGCAACGCGGTCGCCTTCAGCGCCGTAGCCGCTGGTGTCGCTGCTTGCGGGTCGTTCCTCTCCACAACCAGGTACCCGGGGGAGTCTGATCTACTGCAGTACGCTAAAGCTATTCTCGATGATCCTGGATCTATACGCATGGTAAGCATCGACCATATCGTCGCGTGGAGCATGCGGTTATTTTATCTAAGGGCCACAGCCCGCCCTAGTAATGCTTGGGTCGCATCATGTACTCTTATGCACCTTTGTGAAGTGGTTGGGTTACACAAAGAAGAGAATATTAAAAGGATGGCGTCTGCTGCCGGTGCTGCTGTTGTTGGGCATGATGCGGACCGGCTAAGGCGAATTTTCTGGATCTCATGGGCCGCACATCACATGCTGTCGTATGAGTACGATCGTTCGGCTGTAACATTTGGGACCGTGACTTGTCAGCCCATCATCTCCATTCCGGGGTCCGTTGCCGACCAGTTCGTGCAAATAGTCCAGATCATCCCATCGCCTAACTCGCCGTTCCAGCTCGAAAGTCAGCCTCCAACTCCGAGGGAGGAGTTGTTCCAGCGTCTCACGGCATTGAGTAAACTCTGTTTCACTCATCCGTTCCTAGTGGTGACGAAGGCGGACCTTGCGTTTTGTTTCTATCGACGCATTTATCAGCTCAAGACAGGCGTGACAGACGAGATAATTCAACACGTCATTGATAGCGGTAACGACGCAGTGAGAGCGGCTGAGAAGCTAGCCAACCAGGGTCGTCTGTTGTGGAACGTCATAGGCAGCGTCTTCCAGTATGTCTGTGTCTTGTTGGCCATCGACACGCCGGCCTCCTCCGCTCACATCCCTGCCGCGTTCAAAGGGTTGGAGAATCTTGCCAGGGCAACAGACACAGGATCGACCCGTCAGGCATTGTCAATAGCACGGCATCTTCTCAGTCTCAATATAGCAAAGAAGCGAAAAGAGCTTCTGCAGCTTGAAGCTGTGGAGTCGGGCTACGAACCCTTCCAGGCGCAGCCGGAACCCGATGCCAACGCTGCTTTTACGGACATTGGCTGGGGTATGGACTGGGATCAGCTTCTCATCGAGCCATATCTATCTATTTTCGGACCCGACATCCAGCTGTAGTAGCGCAAAGGGGCATTGTGAAATAATCCACTCAGCGGCGATTCAACTCATTAAACCATGGCGTGGCATTCTATAATGGTCTAGGATGAAATTCAGTGTTACATTTATGTAAAATTGCCATTGAAGACATCTAAACAAATTCTTCCTGCGTTTCGCTCTTTTCCTGCTCCGCCCTTTCTGGCGTCATGGACTAATGCCGCTCCACAAAACAGAAAAGCAGAGCCACAGCTAAACCCAGGCCAGAGAGACCGACACCGATATACAATACGCCGCGATATCTTTATAGGACATCCTTCCCATTATTATTGACCTGCCCCTCGACCGTGCCGGCAAACTGTCGACTTTGTGCTTTGGATCATATGCCAACGAGCGGCTACGGAGTATATTTATTCGATTCGTGCTCCGTGAGGCTAGAGGCTGAGCCCCTGCACAAATCAATAAAGCTCCTCTTTCTCCACATCGTGATCAACTGGATCATCTAGGCCGTAGGTATGCACGGAGGTCTGTTAGTCGGGAGTGGACTCAACGCCGCTTCAATGTTGGTGCAGCGGAGCGGGTCTAACTATGGCCCCCAATGTGCGGCTGCTGCGGCCGAGATGTGCGGGATGACCATCCTTAACCCCGACGGTATCTCCCTCATTATGGGGCTTGGCATTTTAACAAGTACCTTTGGCGCTAATCGCCGCAGTTGCCGCGGCTATTCCGGAGCGGCCCAGAACTTACCACAGTGCAGCTGCGACGGTGACGGTCATGCGCGTGTTGCGACTCATAGTGGGTTGATCTGGCCTACGGGTTCGGGGGCGCAAGTATCTCTGCGCGAATCAAGTTCGAAGGTCTGGCCACATCAATCCCGATATGCGAGCTGCCCGGAGGATAAATAGCTGCGCGGAATTAGCGTTTCGGAATTATCCAATCCGATCGTTGTAACTAGGCTGAGATGGAGAGAATGGCAACAAAGTTTGGCTCTGCGGCGATTTCGAGACTGGGCCTGAAGTGTATAAATGGACAGGTATTCTCTGCTCCATGGAAGATTTGCCAGACACCCAGGAGCTCAAACGGCAACAGCTACAAGAGCTACCATACTTCGGACACCACTTTTGACCACAATCACAACAATCGATACACATTGAATCCCCAATTCAAAAGAAGATTTTCAACAAGAGCAAAAATGCCTGAGTACGCCAAGAACCAGCCAGCCGGCTTCAAAAATGCCATTGAGAGAGTCGCCATTGTCGGTGTAGGTGTATCCCTCCAGCAGCAGCCATGCACAAAAATTAACAAACGTCCTTAGGCCGGAGGCACTGTTGGATCCCACCTCGTTGCCGCTCTCCTTAAAACCGGAAAACACACGGTTACGGCTCTCTCCCGCAGAGATAGTAGCAACAAACTCCCCGAGGGCGTCCTCGTCGCCCCAGTTGACTATTCCAACGAGGCCACTATTGTCGCTGCCCTCAAGGGCCAGGAATTCTTCATCATCACAGTATCCCCCACTGCGCCCCGCGACACCCACAGCAAGCTCGTCCGGGCGGCCGCCAAGGCTGGTGTTCCCTACATCATGCCTAACGGGTACGCTGGCGACATTGAACACACTAAACTCGGAGAGGATATCATGCTCGGTCCCGTTGCTCAGGCTGCCAGGGACGAGATTGAGAGCCTCGGTATGAAGTGGATCACCGTGTGCTGTGGGTTCTGGTACGATTACAGCTTAGCGGGGGGTGAGGCGCGCTTCGGGTTCGACTTTGACAAGCGGTCTCTGACGATCTATGATGACGGCACCACCAAGAACTCGGTATCGACCTTGTCGCAGGTTGGGCGCGCTGTGGCCAAAGTGCTGAGTTTCAAGGTGCTTCCTGAGGACCAAAACGACAAGAGCCTTACTGTGTCGCGATGGCTTAATAAACCTGTGTATATTAAGAGCTTCGTGATCAACCAGACCGAGATGTTTGAGAGCGTCAAGCGCGTCACAGGCACTAGTGACGCTGACTGGACTATCACTCATGAGGATAGTAAGAAGCGATACGCAGATGGACTGACAATGGTCAAGACTGGTAACATGGCTGGCTTTGGTAAGCTGCTTTACGCAAGGGCATTTTTCCCAGATGATCCGGGTGATTGCTCGGCCAAGGCACAGAATGAGCTGCTTGGTCTGCCGGAGGAGAGCCTGGATGAGGCTACTCGAGCTGGGGTTGATATGGTCAAGGAACTTCAGCTTCGTGTTGAGCGTATGGCGTCATAGAAAATAGCATCTGCAGGGGGATACCATTGCAATGCAAACTTGACATGAATAGAATAGAAAAGGGACGGAGAATGAAAATGACCCTGATAAATTTAGGGGATTGTTATACCCCCTGGTTTAATTCTACTTTACAGACTCCGTAGTCAAAAAGCCCCTACATTTTGATCATAAAAAACGTGTATTTCATCTCATACCTACATGTTTGAATCCCTTGATGATGATGGAGCAGTTTTTGGAGCAGATTTTGAAGTAATTGTTGAAGTAGTTGGTGTGATAAAAGTAACTTGATTTTGTTGATGGTTTATATACAAATTGTGGGTATCTACCGTCCTCAAGTTGGTAGGGAGTTCAATACTAAGCCGGTGTGGAGGGCGGTATGCTGAATCAGGCAGTTGGGGGGGGGGGGGCGAATTAGCAATTAGGGGGGTCCCTTTAACAGTCCCCTAACTATAAAATCACCCTGAGGCATAAATAGCAACGCAGACACCTTCAACCACCTTCTCTTCTTCCCATCCCATGGCAATTCCGAAGCCAAGAGGTGAACTCATGGAGCGAAGATCAATATGAGCTTCGTCAATTTGCTGTACACAATCTGCTTATTACTGCCGACCGATTTAAAGTGGGACAGTATCCAGCCAGCATCATCTCAATTTGCATATCGGTGAGGCTATCACGATTCACCGGGTAGCATCGGCTTCCGGGGCCTCTTCAGTTAAGAGAATCTCTTGTTTACTTTTTCCTCTTCTCTATCTCTCTGCCATCTCAGATACTCATCACATGGGTTTCACCAAATGATCAACCCAGGATGACTCTTCCAACTTCCTCCTACAATCCTATCATCTTTTTACGGCAAGTCTTCTGGTGGAGGCATAGACCCGTACCCATTTGAGGGTTCATGAAGCGGGTAAATGAAAGAAAACCCAACTGTAAGTGCAGTGTCGTCTATTACCAGTCTCTTTTGACTACGGAGTTTTACAATACTAATGATGATACTCTGTATAGGGCAGATGATCTCGTGGCGATACGGAATAAGTGGCTCGCTGCGCTACATACCGCAAGCTCTTGCAGGTCAAGATCTACGGAACCAACAATGATTTAAAACGATCATTAACCACGATTTTAGGTCTCGAGATATTCATCACGAGAGAGTCTATGTGAAGCTTGGTGGCATTGAGATCACCAATCTTTCACATTTGATACACTTCGAGCCGGCTGAATACAAAGCAATTGTCGACGATGATCTGGTAGATCCCGATGGTGAAATACAGGTCTTACTTGAAGTCAAGGCTAGGCATCTGGTATCGACTTCATCAAGAGAAGTCCTGATGCAACAGGGGCTTGAAATGCTGGCATGGGTTGCTGAAACTCTGGGCATTGAAGGGTCAGAGGGACCAAGAGTCCCACTGAGCGACTCACCAATCAAGAGGTAGGTTTTATCATGATCATTATACTAATGCTTAAGAAACATCGCTAATCAGTTGCCTATAGATGGGTGATGTTAGCCCAATACGCGACAAGCGTATATTTCATCGTCGCTGATCTCCGTGAAGGGTACATTGAGTACTCGATGACAGGCGAGCGCTCAGAGAACCCCCTTGACAAGAAGGCATTTCTCAAAATGGAGATATTGGGACCTTTCAGCATCTATTCTGCGGAAGAGATGCGGATGTTCGGGTTTCTTGTTGTCGTCCTGACAGTTGTCCAGCACCGGGATTGGAAGAAGGGTAAGGAGGTTTAGATAGTAAATGAAAAGCATATTCTTCCTCACATAGACTCCCGGACTCCCTGATATGTGCGAGTAAACCCTCTTTGGAAAAAAACCATCAGCTAGCATACACGCTTCCGCAGTCGAGGCAAGAAATGCATCGGCTCCTGGGAGACTCCCGCAGATAAAGCTGTCTACGTATAAATGTTTGAGAACAGAACAGAATAGGAGAAGCCGGGGAATATATTGTAGCGAGAGCAAGGAAGGGAACTAAAACGCGAAGACGTAGTAGACACCACGAGCAGACTTCTACTTTGTGTCGCGTGAACGGCAGTTCAGCCCTTCTCAAGCAGCAACTTGGGATCTCCGACGGAAGTTTTGGATATGAGCGTGCTCTTCGCTGAAAAGGTCCGGGCGATATTCAAATGCTCTATGTAGGCTAGTCCGTTTCAACCTTGAAACAAAGTATCTGCGTTCTGATGACACTTCCATGACCTAACTCGGAGAGCATCATCTCTTACTATATATCATGCTGTTGGGGGTTACTTGCGCACCGCTATGCAAGCGTTAGAAATCCCCCTTATTGAAATATTATATATACAGCCATGACACGCCTTGGACAAGAAAAACGAACATGGGGCTAGCTGAAGTAGTCCAAGGCGGTGTGCCCAACTATTTAGGGCACATCTGGTGGCAGCTGAAGCCTGAGACAGGTGGATGCCGTGCAAAAGTCCGCCCACTCTTAAGTCAGATGCCGCTCTAGTTTGTCCAATAGAAATTCGTCCATCGCTGATTTCACTGAACTTGTCCACCTTTGCGAAAATCATCGTGAGAGCTTGAATCGAGATCTCTAGATTGCTCAAGTATACAAAGTATGGAGTTAATAGAGGAATTAAGAATCGAAAGTCCACGCCAGGAACAATAATAAGCACCGAAGGGACCGTGGACCCCTAAGATTGTGAAGCTCCACAGTGACGTCAATGGATTTTCCTTGTTAATTTCCTTTTTCAAGGGCGTCGAACGCCATTTTAGGGGTTTAAATAGATCGAATGGCGCAGCATTTAATTTCCGAGCCTTTTCCTGCTATTATATAAACACCCCCAGGTCGTTTCTGCCGACGGTTGAGTGGTTTATTTAGGGTTGATCTAGAATTGTCCTACCTTTTACAATCTATACAATGAGGTACATTCTGGCACATGCCCTCGTACAGGCCTCACTTCTCTCAATTACCTCCGCCTCCCCGGCTCCAACTGCTTTCGCCAATATCGCTCCACCCGATCCCGTCGTTACACCTTCCCCGGTCGAGCATATCCCTTCTCCCATTGTTGGCCGAAACATCTTGAGCGACGTTGATTCTGATATCAAAAATGTCCTTTCGGGGCTTGGGTCTGATCTACCTACATGGGTCGCATCTGGAGTGCCCAACTTCTTCCAGGGGTTCCCGACTAAAGACGCAGTTGCGAGCTCCCTCGGATTGGACAGCTCAGACTTGGCGGCATTACCAACCAATGTGTTGAACATCGACCCTTATGCGAACTGGACCAAGTCGGGCTGGAACGTTCGCTTCCACGGAAACGTTTACAAGCAGCCGAACACATCTGTCTCCAAGTTGAACGATTTAGCCGATATCTTCCTCGTCAACACTAAAATCGCGGACCTTCCTCAATCCCAGCAGGTCCAGGCACGAAATCTGACTGCCGAGATCTTTGTCGTGCAGCAGCCACATGTTGCGGTGAACAAGATCCACATCAAGCCTGCGGTTAGTCAGGGATCCAGCGGACAGCCAGGCGGCGGCGGATCATCCAACACATCAGGCGGTACACAAGACATCACCCTACCTTACAACACAACAGCCGAAGGTGACTTCGACACCTTTGTGCAGATTGAAAGCAATGGTCTTACTGCGGGAAATGAAACCTCGGCAATTCAGAGACTGGACACTCATGTCGAGGGCGCAAGTATCGGAAATGCTACCGCCTATCTTGTGCCTCCAACCGGACTCACCGTGATTTCTGACATTGACGATATTCTGCGTGTCACTAAGATTTACGAACCGGCGCAAGGACTACTCAATTCGTTCGCTCGTCCATTCACGGCTTGGCAGAACATGCCGGATATTTACCGCAACTGGTCCATCAGCCTCCCCGATACGCATTTCCACTATCTTGTAAGGCTCCTCTGGCTCCCCTTTTCTTAATAAAAATACTAATAGTCATTCCAGACCACCACCCCCGAGCAAGTTACTAGAAACTACATGCAGTTCATCTACACCACCTACCCCGGCGGCTCCTTCGACACCCGTCCGCTCAACTTTAGCGACGTGTCTGCCACTCTGTCGATCCGCATGTTCTTATTGCAAAAGATTTTCGAAACCTTCCCGGAGCGCAAATTCGTCCTGGTCGCAGACACCAGCAACAGCGACGTCATGCGCGATTACCCGAAACTGGCCACCGAATTCCCGTCACAAGTCCAATGTATTTTCCTTCGCAACACTTCGGCAACCGATTCGGGCGACAAGTTCCCCTACGACACGTCCGGATTCAAGGGCCTCAAGCAGTCAAAGTATATGTTCTTCGTGAACGCGGATGACCTCACCAACCTGGACATCGCAAACGGACACTGTTACAATCAGTCGGTTGCACAGAACCTGACGTTCAGCTACCAGGGATTGCCATTTGGACTGGGGGATACTCCAACTGCTGTCAACGCGTCAGCGAATCAAACTGGAGCGGCTAGCGGACTCTTAACCAAGGAGTCGGCTGGTGCGCAGGGCTTCATGACATTGATCGCAGCGATGTTTACGGCCGCCTTTATGGTTTTATAGAATCTTCTAGTTACGAGTGCTATGAACTAAATGGACAATTTGATACAAGTCTTTATTTTTTTTAATCCCATATATTTCAGCGGATCGCAGACAGCAGCTAGCTCTTCCAGCGTCGCAACTCCAGCCAAAGAAGGAATCTCCTCAAGAACCTCAAGCAGACTCCGATTTCGGTCGAGGGCAGACTTACAAGCCTCATAAACGAGATCATGAGCGCCTTGTCGTCCCAAATGCGGTGCCAGTCCCATAATCACAGCATCACCGACAATCAACCCCTTGGTGGAATACAGATTGCGTTTCATCGAGTCAACCTTAACCACCAATCCCCCGAGGGCGAAATTCGTCTGGTGCAAAGCGCCCACCGCAGTCACGAAAACATCGGGAATAGCCACCCATTCCAAATACCACGGTCCAGATGCACGCTCAAAGATAACCATTCTATCTAATCCGAGAGACGCATTGGCACGCAACCAGACCACCTCACTGGAGATAGGATTACGCTTCCGGGGCATCGTAGACTAAGCATTTCTGTGAGGTACGAAGGGCTCCGAGACCTCGTCGAACTCATTGGAAGACATGATCATTACGTCCAATGCAACTTTCCCCAATGTGCCACCCACCAGAGCCAGGAAGTTGAGGATCTCCACTATGTTGTCCCGCGCAACATGCCAAGTGATATCAGGATTCTTTAGCCCAAGCTCAGCGGCAAGCTGCTTACGAACCCGGAGCCCTGTATCATCTGCACCAAATACAGCGATCGTACCCGCTGCACCGCCGAACTGGACAAGAAGACACCGCTGCTCGATCTCCTCGATGTAGATAGCTCCGCTGCTGTAGATCGATGAATACATCATATTTACTTCCCCTGAGTTATCAGTATCACAAGCATAGTCTTTTACTAGGCCTTCTCGGCCAAAACGTCATCAATACCATATGAAATTTTCAGAAAAAATGGGGAAAACGTGATTGGATAGCCAAATTCTACATGACCTGTTTGGAAGGCTTATTCTTACGTTCCTCTCTAGTCTCTCTTCCAGATATGATGACCGAATAATATAACTATTTTACCTTCCTGGAAGATGGTCTCTCGTACGGGGAATTCCACCGAGAAGGGTTTGTATACATTTTGGTCTTCATAAACCTGTTACTAATAGTCTTCTAGGATTCCCCATGGCGGATGGGTAGTAGACCGGTTAGTTAATGGGGGTATCTTATATGTCTCAAATGCTAACTTGCAGTACAGTAATCACCACTGCCGATATTTCCCCGACTTTGAATGTGAAAATACCGAGAAGCGAATTTCCTCTAGATTTACTGAGCTGCCATGAGCACAAGGGCCACCAGCGCTCAATAGTCGGGTTCTGAAACCAGGAGAAATGTGGCGATAAACGGCCTTCCTCGATGGAGCTCTTTGCGATTGCTGCATTAACCCACGAAGAAATGGCCCGGGTTGATAAAAGGTTGTATAAGAATCTGTTGGACGAGTGCTACTTTACTTTCCCGGTTTGTTTTTCCTTCTTGGGTATCGTTAGTCTTTTACTGATATATCTTAGCATTTAGTATTTCTGATGGACAAATTTGGCGGATGCCGTATGTTGCAATCTTATTTTAATGGCAAGCTTCATGTTCAATTCTCGGAGATCCTAGATCTAGGACATATGATTGCCGTGCCTGCTTACCGGCAAAAATACTTTGATATGGTTGACAGAAAAGACTTTCTGGAGAAGTTGAACCTGCTTCTAAAGTGGGCATGGCCCATTCCACAAGGAAACACCGTTGCAAATGTTCCAAGGAATTATGGCAATTGATTTGCTGAGATGATTTTGCTTGATATTCTGGTTTGCTTATCTTCAAGGTTAATGTTGCTGCTCTCAGAAAATGAACACCCTGTTAAGAATTCTTCTCTCTTGATGGCGTTCACATTACACCTGTTACCTTAGTATACGGAGGCTTATAGCCTCCATGGGTGACTTATTTACTATCGGCTGATACTACTTTTTCGCTTTCTCTCTGCCTTCAATTGATATACATATTACTCATGGATAATAGCCGCAGATCCACTAAGCCATGGAATGGTATTTAGCTTTGCCAATTAATTGATACTAAGATGTAGATACAAGGCCGAAGCAAAAACAAGATGGCCCGGAAATGGTATCTGGGTGCGGGCCATCATCGCAATGAGCTTCCCGATCATGTTTCACATGCAATGATATGAAGCTAATCTCTCTCTTTATACTGCCGAGCAGCATAACGAACATATTGAGGAGCAACAATGCGTCGGAATGCCTTTCCATATCGAAGGAAGACAACGAAGACCATCAGGATAGCAATTGCAATCACCAAAATAGTGATGAAGGTATTTTTGAGACCAACCTTCGCCACCCAGGGTGATAACGCGAAGATAAACGCCGTGCTGAAACTATTGCGCGTGAGTGTTACACCCACTAGTGCATCTCCAACAATCTGAATTGGTGTTAGAATATGCTCTGAAAGAATCATGGGTTCAGAATGGACTTACATCTTTGTACGAGTCAGTTAAGTAGGTGATGGTGAGAGTGTTGATAGGGGTGACACCGATGTTATATAATGCCAGTCCGACGGCAATGACAGGCCATGGCCGGTTGTCATTCAGCCCGATAGCAAATAGAAGTGCGCCTGCGATTATAAATGGGAGAAAGGGAATCATACACCAGAGACGCATCTCGGGGTCGAAGATGCCGTTTCGCCGGCGAGAGAGAAATAGAATCCACCAATCACTCAGTGGGCCAACAATGAGCGCACCGATAGAGACGCCAATCATTCTCGGTAGGCTCATGAGGCCAACCTCATAGGAAGAGAAGTTATAGGGAGCCTTGGGCAGATAGGCCGACATAGTAGTTGACATGACATCTCCCAGAGCCACCAAGATGCCATAAACAAGTGCCGTCCATGCGATGGCTGGAATAGTCGTGAGAACAATGAGAGGTTGATACATGTGGCGAAAGAAGGACTCGTTCTTGGTATTGGATGAAGAAGTGGTGGTTGTTAAGGCTAGTCTTTGCCAATACGTCTTCATGGGAATATTCGGGTTGATTGTGACAGCAGTGATGTTGGGTTCATCTGCTTTGATCGAGCTGAGATCTGCGAATCCTTGCTCCGCATATATTTCCTTCATTCTGGCGGACGAAAGCTTCTCCAAATCGTCTTTGTTGCGGTCTTCTTCTTGAGGGTTCGGTGCAATGGACCGGTCTTCGTTCGTGGTATCCAGCTGCACATCTGGAGTGGCGGGAGAAGCCGGCGGGCAATACTTGGTCTCTTCGTATCCGAAGCCGACAACAAACATTGTCACACCGAAGATGATAGTATTCAGCCACCAGATCCACCTCCAACCCAGACCACTGGCAACAAACCCGGCAATTAGAATACCCAGGTAGCTAGAGAGAAGCCACGTCCAGACATAGAGAGCATTCATTCTTCCTCGTTGGTGCACGAAGAAAAGATCCGCAATGGTCATTTGCACGATGACCTCTGCCAGACTCCCGAAGAAGCATTGTATGACGTTGATCGCCATGAGGTCTCCCACGGTTTGCATCTTAGCAGACCAAATGCAGACTCCGAATTGAACGATCGTGCTGAACAGATACAAGGGTCGACGTCCAAACTTGAGCGCAAATGGAATCAGAATGACGGAGCCGACTCCTAAAGCAGCACAGCCAGCAGCATAGCTGTCATTTAATATCTCGCTGGTGAAACCGAGCTCTGTCTCCATGGGTCCCCATGTTGGTGTATTGGCGTTGATAAACTCGGCGACCATAGCGACATAGAAGCAGACTAGTCCCATGTTCAAACATTTCCGCCATGGGGCCCAATTGAGGGGATCGTTGGGATCGTCGGATGGTCGTGGTTGTAGAATAATAGTTTTTCCATCGGATGCAGTTGCATCTGCAAGGTGTAATGTACCGGGAGGCCACATGGAATTGTTGCCAGTACCGCTATTCGGAAGCGTCGAAGACATATTGAGATCGAAGATGATAGACCGCAGAACTGGATGAGTTGTGAGGTCTGAAGGGTGCACATATGTTTGCCGGAATCAAAAGTTGGGCATTCTTGGAATATAAGAAGTCGGGTGTTGGACAGTGGCCATGGATGAGGCCAGAGAGCAGACCTTCTATAGCAGACAGAATCTACATTACTCAATTACTCATTTGTGAGGTTATCACACAAATCCTTATCTGTTTGAAGTGGAGTGCTATAAACCAGTCCAATTGGTGGAATGTTCCGGGAGTGGCAGGGTTAAACGTGTGAACTAAGATGGCTGTGGAGCAAAAACGAGGGTTTCCCCTTTTAATTGGCGTAAAGTCCCGGTTCACCCCACTGGAGAAGTCGATTAAGTGAATTAAGATAGCCGTGGAGCGAAAAAGTGGTGGAAAGTCCCAGTTATCGCAGAGAACAAAATGCGGAGTGGCGAATGAGGGCCCACCAACTCAACCGTTCTGTATGTAGTCAGATGTAACTTTCCGAGCAAGACAAGGCGGCTTATCGCTTGACTCGGAATGCTAACGCGCCATGTGTCAGTTCAATGGCGAGACAGGAGACAGGTGGGGGGAGAGCGGGGGGAAGCGGACACGTATAAATTTATTTCGAATCTCCAAAAATTCATCGCTCACATCTACTAGATACCGTTCGGATCTGCATTGGGTTGTTCGTTTATTTTCTTCGGATAACCGACAAAATGGGACAAGATGCATTCGAAAACTTTGGTTTTCCGAAACGGACCAACTATTCCATTTCGCACTGGCTACAATCGGTGCAGGGCGATCCTCTTCTGGATCATCGAACAACACCAGAGTTGCCTGCGTCTGCAGACATAGTGATCATCGGATCTGGCGTGAGTGTCTTCCGATGTTCCTGTAACTTGTCGGAAGGGTTGCTAAGAGCTGAAATAGATGTCTGGGACAATAATCGCCAAAAACATCGTGGAAACCTGGCCCGAAAAGAAAGTGGTCGTTATTGAGGCCCGACTATTCTGCTCCGGTGCTACTGGTAGAAATGCTGGTCACTGCAAGCCTGACCAGTGGCGAGGCTTCATAGGCTATGAGAAACAATTTGGTACTCAGCAGGCCCTGAAGGTATCAAATTATCAAATTCTCCGGTTATGCCTCCATATACGCTAACGTAGACCTGCAGATTCTGCAAAACGAACAACAGACATGGTCCGAAGTCGTACAATACATAAAGGAGAACAGTGTCGAATGCGAACATTGGAGTGGTGATACACTGGATGTTCCAGTTACCCCCCAGGCCGCGGAGAATGCAAAGAAGATCTTTGAGCGCTACAAGGCGGCGGGCGGCAACGTTGACCACATCAAGGTTACAAACGACCCTAAAAAAGCAGCAGAGGTTCGCAAAAGCGATGCATCTTCAATTGACCCGGCTGACAGGAATCCAGATATCGCAAATCAAAACCGCACAAGCATGTTATGCGTGGCCGGCATCGACGCTACACCCCTGGAAACTTGCGGCGCACGTTATGCGTGACAATATCAAGAAAGGGGTGAACCTCCAAACAAAGACTCAAGCCACCAGTGTCGTCCATTCTGGGGAAGATCAACACAAGTGGGTCGTCAAAACCGAACGAGGCGATATCAAGTGTTCCGAAGTTGTCCATGCAACCAATGCTTATAGTTCTGCACTCGAACCGTCTCTGCGGGGGCTCATCACGCCATGTCCTCACATTTGCAACAAGGTTATTCCACCCAAGGCTGATGCAGGCTTTGAAGGCTTCAAGGGCTCTTATGGTGTTCTACTCCCCCAAGACGCCCTGATCACCATCAATCCTCGTTTTAATGGAGGCGGTGGGGTTCTTTTCGGCGGCAGCAACCCAGGTCAAGATGAGTTTATGGAGTGGCTAGAGAAAAACCCGCATCGGTACATTGACGATGGTCTGACTGGATTTGACTCGGTCACGAAGGCTATCCAGGAATTCGCAGTAGAAGGATTCGAAGGATGGCCCTCCGATGCCCTGAAGCAGGGGGAGACTTATAAGGAGGCCTGGAGCGGCATCCTTGGACTTGTAAGTGCTTCGCTTGATATGAAAATCAAATATGGGCTAATATTAGATCAGAGCGAAGACGGCCTGCCTTTCGTCGGACAATTACCTGCACTTCCAGGCCAGTGGATTTGTGCTGGGCACCACGGACAGTAAGTCCATACATGTCTCCCACGCTGCCAGAATGGCTGTGAACCATGCTACGCTGACACTTACAACTCATTAGTGGCATGGCACGTATCTTTACCGTAGCATCCGGCTTGGTCAAGTTGATGAATGGAAGCTCTTGGACTGATACGCGGCTGCCCGAGGTTTTCCAAATCACGGCGGCAAGAACCGAACGGCTGAAAGAGCGCGTGAAGATATCACCTGTTCGTGCTCGTATCTGAGTCTCCAAGCAAAATATTGGGAGTGTGGTATGGCAAGGTCGAGTTTAGTGTTAGTATGTATTTTTGACTGGTACGTTCCCATGGGGCTTGGACTTGCTAGGACCGTGTAAAAAAATTCTTCATATGATATAGAATTCCATACCTCCTAGATATCTGCGCACAATAATGCTCTACCAAAAACTTCCGCCATTTGTATTATTTGCTCTGATACGCCCGAGGTGCGGCACATTTACGTCATAGTCCAAGAATGATGACACATCATCAGGTGATTTCATCCCAAACTGCACGTGACCCATACAAATCCCCACAAGTTCTGTTGAGATTCAGTTAACTAACTAATTAACTACTAAAAATACCATTTCTTGTATAAGAAGGATAAAGAAGAAACCCCTACATTAAATAATTTCCTAATCCGCACATTGCGGGCACAAGTCACGTTACTTAACCTTGTAATCTCCCAACTCCACCTACAATTGGGGAAAGCGTAGAAATCACGGCAATGCGGGGATTTATAAGAATCAGTGGAATGGGACTAGTTCACTCGTTACCAATCACTTATTTGGGTGTTTTTTGTTTCCATTTCGGATTTTCCTTTGGCAAATTGATGAGCCAATCAGAAGACTTGGTTCCATCAATCTTGCGAGTGATAAGCTCTGAAAATGTACTGGGAAAAGAGTCTCCGTGCTATCTCTCATCATTCTCACTACGTCCAGCCTTGCTCCCAGAACGTGACCACACTGCAATATCGAGGCCGATTGAAAAATTGATGGGCTATTTTCCATTGTATTCTGCTTCATGTTTCAACCTGGACATAATAAGAGACAGTCATCCCGAGGCACTCCATCGGGAAGCAGGACACCGCTCGCGTGCGTGAAATGCAAAGAAAAGAAATTGAAGGTAGGATTAAAAACCTCAAGTTAAGCTCAGTCTCCTAATCCAATAATAAAGTGTGACAATAGGGTCTCAGGATGTATTAACTGTCTCCGTGCTGGATCTGGTCGGTATTTCTTTTGCCACTCGGCTTCTTCCATTGATGTGCGGGTTTGTGATGTTAATCTGACACCGAATGACAGTCTGTCTCGTGGAAGATCCAGTAACGAGGGCATATCGGCCGCGAAACTACATTGAAACCTTAGAGAAACGGGTGGCATTTCTCGAGAGTCTTCTGAGGCAATGTCGTCCAGATCTTGCCAATAACGACCCGCTCAGACAATATACACTTCCACCAGAAGTTCAGCCAAATTCAGTTCCCCTAGCGCAACACATCGAGACACCTGATCAACGGCACGGTGATCAATCAACCTCATCCAGAGCCAAAAGTGATGTCGAGGAAGATGACGGTGTTGACAAGCTGTCATCAAAGGTCGGCCTACTAAGCCTCAATGCAGCTGGAGCAGAGCCTCAATATTTGGGGTCATCTTCGATTTTTGCTTTCTCACGCCTGATCAACTCATCCCTTCGCCAAGTGGTTTCCTCTGACTTTCCCACGGCTAACGTGCTTGATTGGACTGAGAACCGCTCTTCCGTGCTACCATCACCGTGCTTATTGCCTGCTTACGAATCGGCTGTCAAACTTAGCGACATTTATTTCCAGAATGTTAATACACATTACCCCTTCTTACACGAGCCGACCTTTAGGGCGTGGGAGTCGATGCTACTGAATGAGTCGACGGAATTGGGAATTCTTCTTCCCAATTCTGTCTCGCTGTTTTTCTTGAATATGGTAAGAGAGACACGGCCTCATGCTCATTGAAATCATACTCACAGTGCTAGGTGTATGCTGTTGGCGCTTTGCTTTTACCCAGTCTCGGATTCTCAGCAGAGGTAAGCAGACATTTCGATTGACTTACGGAAAGCTGACTGGCTCTTAGCGTTTATACACGTCAGCACTAATGTATATCGATGATATCCTGGCCTATGATAATCTAGAAGCAATACAAGCCATCCTGTGCTGCGCAATTTACTCACTTAGGTCATCCACTGGTACTTCGCACTGGTATGGACAGCATGAATACGGGGAAATGATGTTTCGCTGATGGCATATAGGAAACTCGCTGGTCTAGCACTCCGTCAGTGTATTGATCTGGGTTATCATCGGAATACAAAGCACCTTGCAGCGCCTAAAGATCTACTTCAGGTAGAGTTACGTAAGAGGGTATTCTGGTGTGCCTATGTCATTGAGACTCAAGCTGCCGTCATGCTGGGCCGACCTCTTGGTATCCCTTACCAGGAGGTCGATGTTGAAGTATGTTTGAAATTACTAGCCCAAAGACACGCATTACGTGTTGTTCTAATGTACTCTTGTGTAGTATCCGATTGACATCGATGATTCATGCATCAATGAAACTGGTCTTGTGGGCACGCCACGGAGCTCCCCAACTGATGCACCAACCAATATGACGAGAGCGATCCATACATTTCGAATTCGACGTCTTTTGAATCGAATTCACACTTATATTTACTCAAAAGCCGACCCACGCTACTCAAGAAAGCACGACCAGCAGACTGATGTGAAGAATATACGTGCCGAGATCGAGAAGTGGCGCTCCGAAATTCCACCCACAGCTTTTCACCCCGGTGAAGAGCTTGTCTTGTTTACGACTGCAGATTGGTATGATCTGGAATACAACTATACGATCCTACAGCTTTACCGAGCCCAAATCGTCGATCACCGGGTGGAGACTACAGATGAGGTTTTCCTTGATTGTCTGGGCGCTGCAGAGAACATTTGCCGAAGCTATCGGCATCACTTTTTAGGAAAGCCAACGAGATGTACCTGGGCAGCACTTCACGAGCTTTTCCTTGCAGGATTGACATATCTTCACTGCCTTTGGACATCACCTGCCGCACGACAGGCAGCTGGCCACGGGCAAGCAAGCAGCACATGCAATGACTGCACAATCGCTTTAGTGGTCATGGCTGAACGATGGGATGTTGCTGCACCCTTCCGTGAGATATTTGTGGCGCTCGCTAGCCGAACAATGTTGATGATGAGTGTCAAGGCGGATGAAAATGTATCTAAAAATGTGGCTTCGGCTGATTCCGGTAATTGGGCTGAAGAGGACTTGACGGAGTGGATGAGAATTGTGGCCGATGCCGGTGTGCTTGAGGGCTTTAACGGACTTTTGACTGGTTTACCCAGCGAATGACTCTACCTTCAGTCTATGCTTCCGAAGGACATGAGCCTCATTTTGTATGGTTGCTGGAATTTAACTACAGCCCAAGTTATCAAATAGGTTTATGCGAAATGGTCATAATGATATCTCTAAAATACGGATTGTTGTGACGCCCCCAAACAGAGACACGACGATGCAATAACCACTATGTGACATGAAACATTTCGAAAGTTGTTTGGAAACGCGCAGATTCTTCGCTGTGATTGACATGTGATCATCTGCCTCAACTGAACGTCCCATTAGCAGGCCCAAAATACCCGACAGCTGGCATCGACTTGTATGGTACACCCTGGGCGTCGGCAGTATTCAAGTACACGTTATTCCCCCACCAGTCAGGGAAAGTGGCACCAGGGTACGAGATGCAAAAGAAAATAACAATGCCACTGAGGGCAAGACCTGTATCAAGGGCAGCTGCCAAGATATAATTGTACTTGGTCCACCAAGCAAAGAATCGGCGTTTAATAAAGTGATTGAAGGCAAAGTTGACCAGTGCCCAGCTGGAATAGTTAATTCCGGTCGCTAAAAAGCATTTAGTTAGCTTTTGAAATAAAGAGGCACTGGCAAGTTGCGGGACATACCAGGTGGGACGTTGTAAGTTCCGACGAAAATGAGAGGCCAGTTAATATACTTCCAAAACTGGCGTCTAGTATAACGGTAGAGGAGGAAAGTCACAACTGGAGCGACAGCACCGATCCAGAAGAAGTGCAACAGAGGGGAATAGATCTTGCCCACGGAGTAAAGCCGACGGGGCCCAACAAGACCCCAAATAACAGATGAAGAATAGACAGTCCGACCATTTGGACAGGAAAACCCATCCGTCTGGCCAGATTCGCAAATATCCGAAATATTACCAAGCATCCAAAGTGTAACGCCGGCCTGTGTGAGTGCGCCCAGGATAGTTGCCACAAACTGCGCTACAAAGCAGGTACGTGGCGGCACTTTCAGATAATGAGCCAATTTCATATCCATGGAGAAGTAAACACCCTGTCCCACGACATCCGTGGAAATGATCTTGAAAATCATATTGGCGAGTGGCTTTCCTTCGAACATATATCCACCAATGAACTCGGCCAGAACATTCAGCTGATTCGCATCCACGTTCGTAATGCCCTGTACGATACCGCAGGGAACCATGTATACAACCGGGATGATCAAGGCTAGAAAGACTCCGTAAACGGGAAGCTTAGTCTCATAGACTTCGACCATCGCGATGGACATTGCCATGATAACCACGATAATGCCAGCGTACCAGTACCACGGGGTCCGCCGGTACGAGGCACGGATGAGCCGAGCATGAATATCGAGCTTATTCCGGCCTTTGAGAGCAGCCCACAGGTCGCGACTATGCCAGAGGGCGATGTGCGAGAGGACTGAGGTTATGGCAGCAAATGAAAGTCCGTATACAAAGGCAAACGTTGCGCTCAGGTATGGAGGCGAGTACTTTTGGTAAGCCACTGTATCTAGAGTATTATCCGCAGAAATGACTCGAGCCGTGTCGTAGATGGCGCCCGTGTTATCGTACACGTCGGCTGTCATGAGTGGGAGATAAGCTGTGAACCAGGTATTGGTGTAGTAAAGGGCGGGTGTGACAATCCAGTAGAAGAACGCGAAGCCAGCAAAGACATTCAACGCAGCCCATGATGGTGATAGGAGCGGGTTGGTGTTGTAGGCAATCTGGCTCCAGTCGAAGGTAATTGGACTTAGACCGAGACCTGTCTGCATGCCGAAGAGATGGTTGACGATGACGTTCTTCGGTGCGATCCAGCAGACCCAGGTGAAATAGGATAACGCAGTGAATATAAGACCGGGGAAAAAATACCAGACAAAGGCACCGGTCATAACGTACATGAAGAATCGGAGACGGGTTATGCGCCATCCATCTGCGATCGAGTTCGCTCGCGAATGCAACGTTTCTAGCATAGCACAGTTGGATAATACACCTGGCCAGACGATGCGAGCCGGCTCGACGAGCCATGGAGCTGCGAGACCCGCGACGCCAAACCCAAGAAGTTGTGCGACGAGAACAATGAGCACGTAGAAGCCGGGCTTGAGATTGAAATTGTAGAAGTTCTTGCTGGCAGCCTGGATAATGTTTGTCGCGTCCGCTGAAGCATACCCGAAGGACACATTGCTCATAATCACGATAAGCGCGTGCTCTTTGATATTAAACGACCTGTCTGGGTTGACAACGAATGTGCCCAAAGGCCCGAGTCGGATGGATGTGAGAGGAAGAGTTTTGGCCAGGAACACCCCGATCGGATAGGCAAGTAGCTCTGCTACTAGGGCCACAATATGAACCGACGGATAGCGCAGCGAAAAGAACTGATTGATACCAGATCCGAGCATAGTGAAAACAATGCCTAGGAGCCACATCCGCACCGTATTGACTGGCATGCTAGGGTCATCCGTCTCGGGGACGACAGCCCTAACTGTGGTCACTGTTAGTCAATCGACATATATATCAACAGTGAGCTGGGTACTCACCTTCAGGGAATGGAGAGCGGTGCGACTCATAGCTGAACTCTTCATTTGTATTCTCGGAGTCCTTTTCCAGATTGATTTGGTCTGAGTGGCCTTCGACTACCTCTTCGTCGACTCCGACGAGAGCGGGTTTGATTGTGTCGGAATCTAACTTTTTGGAATACATGGTAGAAAAGTTTGCGCAGTCTCAGCGCTTTTGCGAAAGAAAACAAATGGAATACAGTGAGACACGGCGCCTTTTCTAGGCTGATTAAATTGGCCATGGCGGGGACGAATTTAGTCCGACGCGTACTGAGGGGAAACAGAGATAAGGCATTCTGACGGTTGGCTTTCCGGTGGAGAGAGTGGGTTTAGCTTAACTTGACTTACCTTAGCTTCAGATAGTGGACTGACCCCTCAAAAACTGTCCTATGAACAAAGCCACTAGTGGTTAGCCTACATTAGTTTGCTTTCAAGTTGCCGACGAAAGATAGCGATGGCAAGCGAGATAAGAAGATGACCAGGATTGAGTCTGTGGCCGAGCGCAAAGCCCTAGAGAGGCTTAGTCCGAGACAAGGCTCGAGAACTAGAAAGTAAACCGGTTTATGGCAAAGACTCCAGGCCGGCAGTGTTATCATTCAGTAATTCTTGTGCAACGAAGCACATGTTTTTTACCCTTTCTTTACCATGCAATGGACATTCAACCTCGTATCCAGAGGTTTCGGAGTCCGACTAGGACTCCAAACATGATACGCCAAGCTTCAGCCGCGGGCCAAGTCCAATCAAGCTTTGCACTGAGTAAGCTCCGTTCAAAGGCACCAAAGCCAATTGACGACCTCAAATTCATTTTCTTCTGTATGAATATTCCCTTGCGGCAACTCGAGACACCATTGTAGTGTGTCTCGACATATCAGATCCATCCTTTGAGGAAGGATATCGACAGCACACTTCACAATGATATCCCAATTACTCCTCGCTATGGCAGATTAAACAAAACTGCTGATTTGGCCTCGATAAAAGCTGTTATTTATATCTGGTCTCGTCCCATCTGCGATTTATCTATAGTTAATTATGAGTTTTTACTCCGTGGTGTACGTTGTAGTACGCATTGGGTGATTCTGGCCATGAAGTCACTACATGGCTATGTACAAATGCTATGAGTCTAGTGTTCAAAGGCCATTAATTGTACTCAATGGTGTATCACCAAGGCTCGGCTGAGCGGCCTATGCGGTCTTCGTACTGGCGATTTGCTCGCCAGGTCACCAGGTCGCCCGTATTGGTAATCACTGGTAGGGGTTTACTAGTGATTACCAGTAGGGCATAGGGTTACCTCGACCTAGTAACCTGATGAGGTGAATTCTTCTAAATGCCTTATTGCAGAGCAAAGCGAAGCAATTATAAATCAGAGGTCGTACGTCCGTACATGTCAGGTGGCCAAATACTTAAAGCATTGGTAGTTAGAATCAGTCGCTTTGCTCTGCAACGACTATCTCGGCGGCCGCAGGCCGACGAGATCACTGGCAATTCCCCTCAATCAAGGCCGGTGTTGCTTACGGCCGACATTATGTGAAAGGACCCACAATCGCGTCAGCATCTGCATCGGTATCACGTACGCGACTCATCGGGAGCTAACATATAATCATCTTTGATTTAGTTATCACACTCTGCTCTCATGATACCTAGTTGCTATTACGTGAAATAGTAATGGAAATCATCTCTATGGGGTTTACTCATGGCAACCTGCGGTAAGAGCTTGAAAACCTATTAAAGAGCGGCCTAATCCCAGCTTAGCACAAGAAAAACATCAACGAACGTTGACTCCATATTGTCCCATCCCCCTTGAACAAAGCCGTCCCAGAAAACCATGGCGCAATTCGGATTCCACACTACCTCTGATCAGGCTGCAGAAGCTCTAAATGCGTCGATTCGCAACAAGACTAGTAAGTTTCAGACTAAATTGTGAGCCCCGGAGTTTGTTGCTGAGAAACTACTCTCTCGGTCATTATTACCGGTGTCAGCCCCGGAAGTCTCGGTGCAGATACCGCGCGCGCCCTGGTGGCTCACCAACCAGCGCAGCTGATCCTTGCGAGCCAAAGCGAGAAGATTTGTGATGTTATCGCCTCTCTGGACATACCGTCTGAGATAGTCGTCCGAGCACTCTGCCTGGACCTCTCATCCCTTGAAACAGTTCGCGTTGCGGCGGCGCAGGTGTCGGAATGGGTAGCTTCTATTGATGTCCTGATCTGCTCCGCTGGTATCATGGCGACTTCGACCTACCAGACTTCCATGGACGGCTTCGAGCTGCAGTTTGCAGTCAACCACCTGGGCCACTTCCTCTTCGCCAACCTACTTATTGAAAAGCTTATGGCTGCGCCCGGTGGTCCAACAGTGGTGAACTATACCAGCGAGGCGCACTCGCGCGCGCAAATGGATTTCTTGGACGACCTGTCTTATGGCAGTCATGGCGGTAATTACAACAAGTGGCTAGCTTACAGCAATTCCAAGGCCTACAACATTCTTTTCTCGGTGGGTTTGGTCCAGAGGTTTGGCGTGCAAGGCCTCCGATCCTTCGGTGTTGACCCGGGTATCATCGTGACGACTTCGTTGACGCGTAGTGTCCCACCAGAGGACTTCATCGCTCTAGGTGAGATGCGTACCCGTATGAAGTATTCATTGGTACTGGCGGCGCTTAGGTGTTCTTGGTTAGGCTAGGTTGATTAACAGGGCAAACTGAGCTCCGCCATAAAAACAAAGACTTCGGCAGAAGGGTCATCGTCTGCGATCATTGCTGCCTTTGACAAGTCACTTACTAGTAAGTGGGATTGATATCTATGGTGTTATCCGTGACAGTGGGAAGAAGATTACTAATATTTTGATGAAGATGAAAAAGGATATTTCGTCGCCGATGGCATTCTTTCTAATAGTGGCCTAAACCATGATGCCGTGGACCCAGATATGGCGAATAAGCTATGGGAATTAAGCGAGAAGTTGACAGGACTGGTATCAGAATGAGGGTGATGGATGGTTCATCATCACGTGGCAACGATAGCCCGTCCTGATGTATCATGGGTACTGTACAAGAAATGCAAGTTTGCACTGAGCTATTACTCGTCAGAGGAACGGACAAAGTATCGATATAAAATGCCGGTCTTGTACGCATGTTGAATAAATCCCTGTTAAACGCTTAGTAGTTACCGTAGGGTGTGACGGTTGTAGAAGAACTACGTTATAAATACTTTCAAGAAAATTGAAAAATCAATTCATGTGGGCTTTTTTATAGTACTGATTTTTTACTGACCTCCTAAGATAATTGATACTGAATCTCTGTCTGCCAGCTGCCAGGTCTGTGCTTGTCGAAAATTGCAGTAATTGCTGAAAGGTCTCAATTGAATTTATTGAAATATCGCCCTTCTAAGTTCTGGGTATTAGATAGATATTTAAACCAAACCGACACCGAAGATATCATCATGACTGTGGCCTAGGGCGTTTTCTTACTCTAGAAGAGTTTCTCGGAGGATATCTTCTGCCTCTCTATATCGTCCGTTCACATAGAGGCAGTATCCAGTCTCAGACTTGTACTCGAGTTCTTATTCTTGTTGTATCACTGTAGCCTTTCCTCGGGCTACGTCTACCAGCTCTGTTAGGGAAGTTGAAATAGGTATATCGTGAATAACAGCCTCCACCACTCGTAAGGAAGCTTTTGCAGTGCCGATATAATCAATTGAAACCACCAAGAGAAGCTCCTTCGCATAGGCTGCCGCTACCGCCGCCGTATAGCCTTGCCATTCCTTACTCTTGTGTGAATCGGCGTAGTCATAGATACCCCGAATGACCAGATATGGAAAGTCATTCATAAGTCCTGCCGCCTCCATTTCCATATAATATATCCCTAAGTCCTGAGCCAGCTGATCTCGTTACTTGCCACCTTTCACGACTTGATTAGCAGATCCAATTAGCCTGTAATAGACGACTGGTTCTGTATGTTCTCGTGAGGGTCATAGACATAGTTTAGATCGATCGCAATTCACACATGTATCGCACGCGATATATTAGTGGAGGCTTCGCTGGCAGAAACACCACCTCTGTACCCACAATGCCCAACGGTCAATCACGTACTGTACCGATGGCGGAATACTTTATCATAGTTTTCATCCGGTAAAGCTTGGTCCATCTTCTTAGGACATAAGTGGATGAGGAAGTCGGGTTTCGTTACCTTTTTTGTGTCGTAGATGACGTCCGAAGCCATGGTGGGGATACTGAATGTTAGGTTTGGTTGCAATGCTTAGCCAGCTAGCCGAGCAACCCATGGTTTCCTTTCCCATTACTTTCTCTACCTAGCTTGCTGGAGGATTGATTCATTCGCGATTTACATGCCGTCTACTACTCGAAAGATTTGCATAGTCTTCGTTTTAATGACGACAGTGAAAGAATCGTATGCTGAATCGGCTGTGCTTGCTCCCGGGAAGCGTTGTGTAGGGTCCGTACTTGACGGTTTCTATCGTATAACACGAAGTGTCTTTGGAGATCTTTCTTCGCTATGTGCTCCATTGACTTGACTGTCCATGTGGTGCTTATGTCGTACTTATGGAGTGAGGCGAGACCAGATTATTAGCAAAGAGAAGGCACCAGGTCCAATGAGAAATAAGGGTCCGGAATGATATTCCGTCAGATATGCGCTAAGAATTGTGGGCAACCGCATGCATCTGGTAACAGACTACCCATGCCCATTGTTAACGAAAATTTATCCAACTGATCTCTGACAGCATAGATACTTAAACTCGGGTCTTTTTGATCTCGAGAAAGGAGTGATTGATTCGTATTAGTTTTGAGAGCCTGAACTCCTGCAAAAAGACGCCATGGGTCTTCCTGGTGCTTATCATCAAAGTCTGCCATCAGAATAGGATTGGTTTTCCTATTTAGATGGGACTTAAGCAACGTCATTAGCTGGTCGAGCAGTGCGACAGCAGAGTTAATTCCATCGCGAGTTCCCTGTACCAGGGTTGTTGCATAAGTGGATGGAATCACTCCAACAAAGGACGCTGGGGGATCCGTTTCCATGAGCATGCCATGAAACTGAACAAGACTTTCTCTTGATTTGAGAATACAGCTCACCAGGCCGTTGAGAATGGATCGATCGACATCTGTGTCCGAAGTCGTAAAGTATTTTGTCATTGCATAGTAGCCAGGGCATTTGGCTACTTCGTTAAATGCGTAGTCCATCGTCTGACCTAGGAGACTACTTTCCTGCCACCGGTCTTCTGCCCTGGCAATCTCTTGGATCGCTGATACGCACGTCCACTCCGAACCACCTAGAAAACAGGGCTCCGCATGGATAAAGGCATCTGCGACTAGGTAAGGCCGCCAAGAAATGAGAAGAGTGCGACCCATGCCATGTGTATGTGCTGAAGGGCCACGGGCGCAGAACAGGTGGCGGATGCCATGTGAATGAATGATCCATGAGCGATCACTACTACCATCTAGAACCTCATAGCCCCCTAGCAAAATCGCAGCTGCAAGTGTTTCATCTGCTAGTGCGGCCCGTGTATGTAGGAGAGAGGCCAGATGGTTTACACCCCGACCATACATATGACGAGCGCACATTATGGCTTCTTTATTGCCTCGTGCCGCCCCCATGCGCAAACAGGTTAAGGCGCGGAGTGCCCAGATCAGTGCCTGGGGAAATGTGGACCACCTGCCTCGTATAAACTTCATCCAATTCATCTCCACGCGGGAGTTGAAGGAAGCGAGGTAACTTGGAAAATGGTAGTCCAACCATACTTCGAATGATTCCTGCGTTTGGACATTGATCGCCTCGTAGGCCAAATTTGGAGCAAAGGCTTCGTCCATTGTTGGTCGACCGTGTTTTAGGGTGATATATCGCGTCTGGTCCTTGAATTTGTGACCACGATCATAGCCTGGGCATTCCGAACCCCAGTTAATACACCGCAGACATTCCGGACGAGTTTTATCGCACTATGTATCCTTTAGTTCATGTTACCGGCTTTATTTTGAGATCGCCTCTTGCAGAAAAAAACGGATGAGAGGTCCGGAATGACATGGTACCGCAATATATCAGCACTAACCTTGACCTTGCGGCTTATACACTGCAAACATCCTTTACTATGAGGGACGCCCGGCATTCTTGTTCTATCTGGTTGTCCCAGAGTGCACAAGATAGCTAGGAACTAAAGGGTTAATAGTATGAAATTCTACCTCCAATTGGTATATGAGATGGGAATAAGGGGCTTTCGCTACACCGCTCCGGCAGAAAATATTAAAAGCTCCCGAAGTCCACCTTGAGGATTTAATTGTTATTTTGTTCTAATTTCTCAGAGGTCACATAATCCCATAGTAGTAGATGAGCATCTCCTTTCCTCCCGTCTCTCTTTCATGGTTCAACACACAACGGTTATGAGCCCGGGGAGCTCGTCATTGATCTGATCTTACAATCGGTCAATATCCTCGGTTCTGTGTGGATCTCTCTATACAGGGGTCTGGTTGTAGTAGGCCGTGGTGTCCCCGTCTCGTTATTATATGGAGAAGGCAGAGCCATAATCGAGCGAATGAGTGATTCTCACCCAGATTCTCACCCAGATTCTCACCCTATCTATATCACACAGTCATTTGCAATCTACCTATAATTCTCTCCCACACATTATCTAATACATACGACCATAGGGTGTGGAAAACAGGGCTTCCCGTCCGCTCAGCCGTACTTAAGCCAGTAGATAATACGCCATTAAGTAAATATGACGATTATTGTGGCAAGTAAGCTTGGTGGGGAAGATGATGATATTATGAACCCCTTGTTGGGGGTGCTAACTAGCTAACTATGACTAAGCTGTGACAATAAATGTGGCAAGTAAGCTTGGTGGGGAAGATGATGATATTATGAACCCCTTGTTGGGGGTGCTAACTAGCTAACTATGACTAAGCTGTGACAATATGCCGGGTCTCAAAAAATCTCGGCCTCCGGCTGAGAAAAAAAGGAAATTTCAATAAAAAATAAGAATAAAAAATGATAAGAAAACGAAAAACGCCGTCAGTTATCGTAGGCCCAGGGCGGAGTATAGATGTCCGAGGGCGTGAATTCACGCCTGGGGTCGTACAGTGGCCCCTCGGTGGCCGCTTTGAGAGGAGCTTTACAGTGGTTACTACATTCTTTATCGCCTAGTAGTAACGGGCTCCCTAGTTAGGCTTAGTCGTTAGGAGTAGCGCTTTATTAAAGTTAGTAGGGGCGGTGGAATAGGTTTTCCTAGTATCTAATGGCTTAGCGCTAAATATCCGGGAAACTACTAAGTATATTCGAGATTATCATAAGGGTACTAGTAGTAACGGCTTCGGTCTTCTTAGTTAGAGCGGCCTCTTAGAGTTATAGCTAGTAATATCTAGCTATATATTCGTATAACCTTTTTAAATCCTTGATCTTTAGCTATACCTAGTCTATACACTCTATTATACCTTTATAGGGAAGGATGAAATTATAGAGGATCTTTTCCTTAGTATTAGCTTAGTATAGTTAGCTTTATATAGCTAGTAATTAGCTCTAAGGTTTAGGAATATCTAGTAAAGAGAATAGAGTAGAAGAGCTGATACTAATTATATCGCTAGGTTAGTCCTATATAGTAGGCTAATATTCTTACTAAGTACTATAACTAAACTAAGTTAAACGATTTATATTCTAATATAAGTATTAAACTGGGTCTATAATCTTTATCTTTTTTAGGTCTATTTAGGAGAAAGTAAAAGATAGCACTTTAGCTAAGTATAAAGGAGACTATATAGAGAATTCTTAGAAAAAACTATAGGAAGGTCTTAGTCCTTATAGGAGTATAGCGATATAGTAGTAATTATCTAAACTAATATCTAGTATCTTTAAGTTTATTTTAGCTTTCTAAAGTATAGTATACTAACTGTAGTGGTTATATAATTAATATACTATAGAATAGGGGTATAGAAATTTAGCTTATTCTTTAGTATAGTAGGCTTAGAATACCGCTATTAGGTTAGTA